GCTCAGGGACCTCCAAACCTCTGCACGCTGAGCCCGTGGCGAGAAAGGAGCAGAGAGCCTTTTGCCTGGAACTGTGTGTGTCTCGGGGGCAGATCTGATCACCCAGGACTGGTCTCTGTACCGACCGTGACAGCGGCTCCTTCACGTGGGACCCGGTGCTCCCGGCACCGCTGGCACTGGAGACCCGGAACAGGCTCCGGGAGCAGCCAAGGACTTTGCTCAGGCTGAGAAGGCTGTGGCTGTTCTGGGCCGTGTGAGGTGCCTGCACTGCCATCCCCGTCCCTGCTGTCACCTGGGCCAGTGCCCGCTGGCAGCAGCTGCACTGCTGGCATGGGGAGAGCTGGGTCAGGGGCAAGCACACCCCAACCAGGAATTTTTACAACTTAAATCTATGCCCAGCTTATTCCTTGACCCAGTTTTCCCTCCTGCTGCTATTTTATTTTTTTTCTTCCCTCCCTATAATTCTTGGTCCCTTTGGGCACAGCCATGACCTCCACAGGTGAGGTGATGGTAAATTACTGGATGCCAGAGTTGTTCCCATGGAGTCAGCTCTGGGGCCAGGAATGGGATGCTCCAGTCAGAGGGGGGAGCAGGGGCCTGACAAGAAGCAATGCTGCAGCTCCCACCTGCCTTTCCCTCCTCCCAAGGCGGGGAGGGGGCTCTGGCAGGGGCTCGGCCATGCTCAGCCCTCCCACCCCGTGCAGGGGACATGGCAGCTACAATTTCGGGGTGAGATGGCCCCACACACTGCCAGCTTTGGGCAGCATTGATGTAATGTCTATTCTGATCAAACTGTTAAAGGATTAATTGGGGTAACAATAAATTCATGGATCCCACTGAACAGCATGTTCCCTGTTAGTGGGGACTGGTGTCCCTGAGCACAGCTCCGTGTCACTTCCAAGGAGCCAGATTTGTCCTACTATGAGCCCTAAAAAGAAGCTTCATTCTGCTGGGTGGCATCATGCCTCTGCATGTTCTCAAATATATATGTGCATCTCAGGAAACACCCTCCAGAGCCCTGACTAACAGTCTGCTGTCACCTGGAGCAGGTTTCAGGTGTATTTATTTGACTGAGAAAAGTTAAATAGAAACTCAGCCAGGCTTTCTGTTTATTTCCCTTAACTGTGGAGAAATAAACATTTTTCATCAGTGCTAAATTAAAGGAGATACAATCAAAAGAGAGACAGAGCATGAAAAGAGGAAACAAACAATTTGTATTAAGAAATATGAACAGGAAAAAAACCACATTATATAAAAATACAGGTACAGGGTTGCTGTGGTCCCATGCTCAGACACATGGTTTGCTCTGAGCTTCCAGGAGTCACGGAGCTGCAGCTCAGCTTCATGCTGGAGCAGGACGGGATGGATCCATCCCCACACTTAAGGCTGTTTCCATGTTCTCCTGGAGCAAGGCCATCGAGGCAGAGTGTTTTTTCTCCTCCTTCTGCACTGGGGGAGCTGGTGCTGGTTCCCAACCAGCCAAGGCCATCTCTAGAACCTTCCTCCAACCCCTGGGCACTTCAAGGCAAAGGGAACCCAAGGGGTGATTGTCTGAAGAATTGGCAGCACGACTGGCAGGACTGATCTGGGGGCATTTGGCACATGGACAAAATGTTCCTACTCCCTGGTTATCCATCATCCAACATCCAACCTTAACGACACGATTTTGGTCCTTCACTACATACTTATATTAACATCGTTTCTTCACAAGAATGATACCTAATGCAAAAAATACTGTTAAGGAAGAAATAAAATAAGAAAGGAATTAGCCCAAAATTACAAGTTATATACAGCTTAAAATAAATTCCATCAGGAAAAGAAACAATTCTTTTATTATTTTCAGTTGGCCCCTGTGGGAATAATTTAAAGGCCAAGTGCCTGGGCAGGGCTGTGCTGCAGCTGCCACAGTGGGGATGGGATGGGGTGGGATGGGATGGGATGGGACAGGGCTGTCCCTCCCCTCTGCAGAGCCAGGGTTCCTCTGACAGTGTTGGCTCTCGGGCTTCCCCTGCCCAAGAGCTTTGTGCAAACAGACAGAGGGGCTCAGGGGCTGGGGGAGCCCTGGCCAGGGTGATGGTGTTGGAGCAGTGGCACTGGAGTGGTGGCATTCCCTGCTGCTGCAGGTGGCAGCCAAAGCCTTGCCATGACTTCATACCCATCACCAAGCCAGGACCCAGCTGCTTTTCCTGCCTCTACCCATTCCCAGCCCCTGGCTATGACTCAGGGTCCAAGGCTGGGGGAGGACACTCCCATAGGGACGTGCATTGACCAGGTGGTGCAAGTGCTTTGTCTCCACACAGTATCTTTGATTACCACACTTAATCTTCCTTTTTGGTGGAGTAGGTGACAGGGACAGCTCCATGGGCTGATAAACCCCTGGCATAATAAACAGGCTCCAGCACAGCCTGCACTGTGGGCAAGGAGCCCAACGTGTTCCCCCACAGCAAATAGTTATTTACAGTAAAACAACACTGCAAATTCAAATTTAAAAAACAATTCAAGTGAGGCAGTACACCCACAGGAGGCCCAAGCCCAGGAGAGCCGGGCAGGGTCAGCCATCAGTCCTGACAACGCTGTGGTTCAGCTTCCCATAAATATTGGTGCATAAATACCTGATTTGGTCCACAATTTCAGCCCCCTCCCCAAGCCCAGCACCCAGAAGATGAAGGTCAGCAATGTGTCACGAGCTGCCAAAGTCCACTGTCCCCCGACCAGAACTGATTCCTTCTGAACTGGTCCCTCTGGTCTCTGGCTGAAGGCCTGCACTGGTGTTGGCACCCGTGTCCTCACGGCCAGCCCGTGCTGGTGCAGTGAACTGGTTATACTGGGCGCTGCAGCCTCGCTCAGTCAACCCCAAAGGCAGCAGCTGGGGCTGTGAGGAGATGAAAGCTGCTCATGCAGCTCATAAATGAGTTCCTTAACAGGTCATTGGCTTCTTCAGGTGTCTGCTTGGTCCCACTGGGGGAGCAATCCCGGGAGCAGGATCTAGTGCTCAGCCAGCCAGAGCCCCTCCAGGGGTGGTGGTGACCTGGTGGGTGCCAGGGACTGTGTGGCTGGAAGGGAAACGGGACAGGTCAGTCCTCGCTGCCCCTCCGAGCACGGGCACCACGTCCCAGAGGTTTTGCAGAGGGATTCCCCCCCAGGCACAGCCAGTGGCTCTCCTGGCACCTGCATTTACCTTCCCTGCACGTGGGTCCCGTGTGGCCGTCCAGGCAGAGGCACTGCCCGTTCCGAGCGTTGCAGTAGGAGCTGCTGGGGGCACACTGGCAGGTCAGGTGGCAGTCAGGGCCGAAGTGGGTGGGCTGGCAGTCTGCAGAGGGCACAGAGGTGCTCAGGCCTGAGCCTGTGGCAGCAGCCAAGCAGGAATGCTCAGACCTTTCCCGGGATGCAGCAGGTAGAGCTTGCAGGGGAAGCTGGGAGCAGAACAGGGCTGAGAGCTTTTTGCCCTCCCCCCTGCCAGCCTGCACTTGAGCTCTGGTGACACGGGACATCAGGGTACCCCCAGAAAAACAAGGTGTTCCTTCTGTGTTTCATCCTCAGCCTTTTGATCTAATAACAAGGGCTCTGGAGGCTGAAGGAGTGTTTGTGTTCAGGTCTGGCTACAAACAGAGGCTGGAGAGGTGAGTGCTGCTATTCAGGTGCCCTCTTGCTCTATGAGGGGACACACCCCAGAATAAAACCCCCTTCCATGAGGACTGAGCTCTAACAAAAGGGGATTTGCATTCATTTTAAGACAGAGTTTTGAGCTCACTGTCCCCCCATCTCACACAGTGCCCTCCCTCCCCTGCCCCTCTGTGGCTCAGCTCACCTGCAGTGCACGTGGGGCCGGTTTTCCCGGGCGGGCACAGGCACTGCCCCGTGGCCGGGTCACAGGGCACGTCACCAGCACAGTCACAGAGCCGCTGGCACCCCTCGCCGTACGTTCCTTCCTTGCAGCCTGTTGGAGAGGAGGGATAGAGTAGCTGCCCTCGGACTCGCCCCTC